GTGTCACCCACCAACTAAATGATGGACGTAGCCTTTGTGACATCACCCATTGGTTTGTCAACCCCCTTTTAGAAACACATACGCACTCAGACACACCCCTGTGATGACAACCCTGCTCTTTTAAATGACAAAACATTAATTTTAATTATGTTTAATGATAAATAATGAGGTGATGGCATGCAACCCCAGATGTAACAATTTTAATGTTTTCTGTTTCATTTTTCTTTTGTTAATTATTTTTGTAACGATGCTATGATCACTAATGTGTTGTGACCAGCTGTAAGTATATACATATGTTCAACATACCAGCTGACATGTTGTTTTTCTGGGGGGAAGAAGTGACCATATTTGGAGGAGTGGGTGAAGCTGGTGATTTGCGTGGGATTGACAGGTGACAAGTTAACACATTTATACAGCCTGTGCCCCTGTATTCGTTTGTTTGCCAACGGAATGAGATTCTATTTGTGGTAGTATAGCTGACCACTAACCAAAACCAGAGAGCCCAAAAGTTGAGTGAGAGAGTAGTAAGTGACCGAACAACTTTAAATAATCTAAATGCCTGTAATCTCTCAGAGGACAAGCCAACAACAACTCTGACTCCCATCCACCAAAAATAAATCGATATACGACAACAACATTGAACAAGCTTACAAATAGGTAGGAAAGGGCAGTTTAACTGAAACCTACAAATCTGCAGCACAGACTTGTTGGACAGCACATCAATGCTGCAAAGAGCACAGCAAGCCATATTATTGTATATGTTACAATAAGTATAAATATATATATATATATATACATATACTGTATATGTACTGGATATAAAGAGAGAGAGGGAGGTTTTGCATCAACGTCACTTCCGACTTGACAGCGCCCCCTCAGTCTTTAACCAGCTCTGCATGGTCCTTGAAACTCTGCGTTTTAACCTCTTTATACGTTTTTTCAAACGTTTCTGCTCTTGGAGCTTGATGCTGAGGCTTTTAAGGTCAGGTAGAATCAGTTAAATCTGAACCAGTTTGCTTTCCCGCTTCCATTGCTGCAACACCTGTTGGTTTGCCATTTGCCTGGAAAACAGAGGGGTGTCCAAAACGGCCGTGTGGGGGTGCTGTCAAATCGCCTTCCTTCTCTGGTTACAACAAAAACAGACCATTCTGGACCACAATGGAAACTCAGAAGAAAGACATACTGACTGCTGCTTTGTTGTCAGAGAGGCTAGCACTTTAGCATAGCATGTTTCCTTCATGTCTGATGGTATAGTAAGGCCATTTTATGATTTAATTCAGTAGCTATCTTACGTATTGCTCCTTTAAAATCTTAATATGTCTTACACAGCTGGATTATAGAAAAAGTCAGCACCAATAATATAGCCCTGAGTGGAAAAAGGAGCTGCAAAGATAAAAATTGTTTTCTGTTCTAGGCTTTTAACAAGTGTATTTTTCGCTATAAAAATGGGCATTTTAATTTGTGCCTTATAATAATAATAATAATATTTTATTTGTATAGCACTTTTCTATACAAGTCACAAAGTGCTTTACAACAGACAATAAAAGCAGAGAGACGATTAAAGCAGAGAGAGTAAACAAGCAGACAACAATATCAGACTAATAAAATAAAAATAACAACAATTACCAAAATTACAGAGTAAAAGCATTTTTATGAAAGAATGACAGAATGATAATGATTTACTTCTTGGAATCTCACTCGAGTGGACACTCAAGGAATTGTAGTTTTTTGGCATTTCTTGCACTGGCTTCATTTCTTAACCCTGGAGGTTGTCACTTGGCGCCACTACATGAAACCTTCTGTTGTGTCTCTGAATAAGTCTTCAGTAAAATGACTTGACTTGAAGATGAAGATGACATTAGTTTGAGTCTGTTACTACCAGGTGAGGCTGCTCCAGGTGCAGTTTACAGGTAATCTCCTCGTTTGGGATGTTTTTGATTATTCAGCCTTTGATTTTTTGATTCATGTCTGTGCTTGGTGCAAATGACCAGACAGACCTTGACTTTGTTTCCTGAGCTGCTGCTGAGTACGGGAAATGCCTGACAAACAGCAAAAACAGACGTTACTCGACACTCCTGGATGATGATATCGTTAGTGCAAAGTGAGATGTTGCTGAATTTCTCTCAGTTTGTCTTTATCCTTCCACGCTGACGGCTACAGCATGAGCAGCGAGCATGAGTCCTAACAGGAGGACATAAAATGGAAAATGTGAAAAGACCAATCGTGCATGCATTCACACACACACACACACAAACACACACACAGACAAGCACACACATGTACACACACACGTACACAGGATGTTAATAGTTTAAGGATGTTAATCTAATGTTTACAAGATGTGACATTAAGTCATGTGACCACATTTACATTTGTGACATTCACACAGTAATAGATTAGAGAGAAGGGCAGTGTGTGTGTGTGTGTGTGTGTGTGTGTGTGTGTGTGTGTGTGTGTGTGTGTGTGTGTGTGTGTGTGTGTCTAATAAACCAACCTTATCTCCATCTGGAAATCGAATTATTAGCGTGCAGCAATTTACTGTACAGATGTGTGTTTGTGCACATGTTCAGCCATGCATATGTAAATGCCTCGCAGTCCTCTATTTGTGTATCAGATTATTCAACTCAACATTGACTATGTTATTTAAATGTTATTTAAATCAATGTTTATAGGATGATATTATGCTATTTCAAATGTTACAACTAGAAATCCCAGTAGGACCATTAGAGGTACAAACCGTATATGAATACGAGACAAAAGATTCTTGTCAAAATAATCTTTTCTTTTATATTCTTCTGACAGTTTAACCTGCAGTTTTATGTCAACACTCAGTGTCTGAGTATTTTTACAAACAGGAATCACAGAGAGAGAATTTTGAAGAATTTCCTGATGCATTTACTTCATCATCTGAATCAAATTTGTTCCAGTTTAAGAAGACTAATTTGTAAAATCAAACCATTAGAAGCAGTAAAGACACAAAATGAGACAGAATGTGATCGAGGGCTTGGACTTTGCATTAAATACATTTTAATCTATAAGCATGTTTCTGATGTTTTAGGAAGTCAAACAGAGTTTTTTTTATGTCCCTGCTTTTCTTTTAAAAACTGTACATATTCATTTTTTTTTACCCTCAATACAAGTGTCCTTTTCTAGTCCACTATACCTAACGTGATTTAGATCTTGGCTGGATCGCAGCCAGTTGTCATGTAGTACTGATATGATCTAAAGGTTTTGCTGCACTGTTTTAGGCGTGCTGATTAGCTTGCAGCAGGTGCCGGCTTGCCTCGCTGTCCCTGGAGCGTTTCACAGGAAACACCGGCTAATTTCTGCAGGTGATAATAGCACACAATGAGGCGACCACCTTATCGCGGGAGAAGAGAAAAAGAAGGTGCTAAGTAAATCATTTGTCCCCACTTGTGCACTCTTGAAATGGAGACATTGGGTGAGAAAAACACATTCCAAATGACTGCAAACAAACATCAACATGAAGTCAAACATGCTGTGTTTGTTTTCTTATGTTATGTTTACCATATGCCGTTTTCTTTTTTTGTAGCTAATTACTAAATGATCTCCAAAATCTGATGATGATACATCACTTTTTCTTCATTGCTTTTGAGCCTTTCCAGCATCATTTTTAACTAACTCTGGCCTGGAGTTACATGTTTGATTTTAACTGTAAATGTTTGTCTTTGCAGTTTAAAATGTTTTTTTTTGTGTGTGCAATGAATTCAGGACAAACTCTGTGTGGACATTCTGCCGTCTGTGTAGGAAATCAACTCATTTTAACCACTTTACTCTTCTACCTTTCACACTTCTCATTGTGTATTCTCTTTTTATGTTTTCAACACATGCAATTCACTTTAGATTCACTTGTGTTCTTGTTTGTTAACGTTGTTCACTGACGTTCTTATCTTCTGTCATAATTTGAACAGGCGGCAGGGTTTGGAAATTAGCACAATCCTTCTCTTTTTTAATTGCACTTTATCCCGGGAATACCGGTTGCTGTATTTTGTGTCACATCTAAATGTTTCAGTATGAAACAGTACATTTTGCTCCTGTTATTTCCATTTCCATCTATATTAAAAAGGTAAATTCTGGTTGCCGTTTTTTTGTTTTGGATTTTGAAAATTTCCAAAAAATCAGAGAATCGAAAAAGTACTTTGAGTTTTCTGTTGTATCTTTCATCACAAGAAGTACACTGATTTACACAAGTCTTCCGCCAATGGGTGTTTTTTTTGTAGTGACGGGTGAATTTGCTCAACTTGCCAGTCACAGTGGTGGGTAAATGAAGGTAACATGATTTTAAAACACATGCTGAAACAACAAATGTATTATCTTTCCTCTCAGTCGAGGTTCATTTTGCAGCTAAATGGGCTTAAAGAGATGACTGCATTAGAAACTTTTACCAGCCTTTAACATAATAAAGTAAAATAACTAATTTAAACAATAAAAAACAACAATTAAAGAGCCTGTTACTTGAATACTGTAAGCCTTGGTTTGATATTATACATGCTGGTTATTATTATGCTGGTGGTTCAAACACAGTGGCAGGTAGGTGAATAAGTTCATTTCCAGCCTTGATAGCTGGCTGTAAACATCTGTTTTCATAGTAGACTGGCTGACAAGTCGCAGATTGTATCAAGACAGTATCCCATCTGTCATTTATTCTACAATTTGTATATCTCTGCATTTAAAAAAACGGGAGTATTTGCTCTAAAAACACGTTTGTTTCCTGAAGAGAAGGTTGTGTAATCCTGCATATTCCCTGGCTAAGTGAAGACTTCCCTACAGGCCTCACCATTAAACAGTGGATCTCAGGATCAGCAGGATATCTGCTCAGCCTTCACTGAATCAATAGCTGTAGAGGTCATGGATGATGCACCAATAGGTGAGAATGTGTATGTGTGTATCATCCAATGCAACCCCCCTCCCTAACTCAGATATCCTCTCTCTGCACCCCCTCCCCCCCCCCTGCCCTCACCCCTCTGTCTCCCACACAGATGGTTTATAAGCCGTGGCTGTGTTCTCAGTACTTCCAGACCTCCCAGATGCACTGCAGCAGGAGGATCCCCTGTGGTCAGTACTGCCTGGAGGTGCAGCAGCGGTGCCCCTTCGTCCTGCCCGACAATGATGATCTCATTCATGGAGGCAGCCCCAGTTTTATATGCACAGGTACAAACAATCATCTTATGAGATGCTTTTTGTCTTTTTATGACTTATTTTTTGTTAAAACATCAGTTCACTGCATGCTAATCAGCAGGAATCAAACACATGATTACACAGGGAGCGTAGTGTCTTTCTCACAGGACACTTTAACAGGACAGACAACCTCTGATGAACACTTGTGACTTTACAGTGACAGGATGTTCTGTAATCCCTACACTAACAGGATGAAACAGAATAAGTACACATTGTTGACAACTATTACAGCTTCAAGATGCAGCTGCAGAGTGGAGCGCTTTGATAAGAAGTCCGTCCGCACTGCACAGCACATATAGTGAGAGCAGTTTTTACTTCCATTTCAGGACAAACATAATCACACAAATTAAAAAAAATAAAAATAAAAACTCTTTGAATTATAAACAGTCCCCTCAGCATGTTTAAGACACTTTTAATGCATGTTGATGCTGCCCTCTGGTGGACATGTTGAGCACTACCTTGCACTCACGTTTTTTGTGCATACTGTTCTTCTGTCATGATTTAAGTTTTTTTTTAAATGCTAAATAAGGCTGCTTGTGTCTGTCCTTTAAATTAGGGGTTAATGCACAACAATGCTTTTATTACAGTTGTTATCAAAAAGTCTTCTGAATAGACCAAAACCATATTTTTCTCTTCTTGGCATTGACCAAATGTCCGATGCCAAGAAATCCTTAAAAATAGATCACAGACATATACTAAAAGGCTTAGTCATCTTTTCTCTCTATAATAACAAATGTCAGTGAAACAGGAGGAAGTAGTGCATATGTTGTTAACTATTTCAAATAGTGGATTAATACACATATGCTGCACTTTTTAAGGTATTTAAAGAATGTACAGTTCACCACAGTTTCCCAGTTTGGGATAAATAAAGTAATTCTATTCTATTCTATTCTATAATGCAGATAGTTATATATATCTATATCTATAGTCTTTTACTAAAAAGAAAACACTGTATGATGAGTGGTTTTGTCTTTTTTATATGCTTTGTTGAAAAAAAGAAGAATATCAAATGTCAAAATGTTTTTTTATGTGTACACGAGCTGATGGACTCAGCAACACCAATCCAGTATGTAGTTGAAAAAGTCAATAACTAAGACGATAGCCGCTTTTGCAGATTATCAGTTTCTATTGTGTCATGTGTGCACATCTGTATTTTTTTTCTACACCTCTGTAAAAAAAAAAAAAAGGCTGATCTAAATGTGGATTTGACAGGAACTTGCAGTCATTACATATTTTCACTGCACAGTTTAGCTGTCGACAGTCAAACTGTGCAGAGTGGGCACACACTCCTTTAAAGTTCAGAGCTAACATTAGCATGTAGCCAAACCTCCCTCTGTTCATCATGTCAGAGGAGAGATTGTCAAACCACCCATTGTGATTACAGTGCTTGTGTTGTTGTTTTTATTATATGTTGGTTTTTGTTGCTGTATTTTCTTTTACCTAGCATTGTGTTTGCAAGCTGCTGTACCGTGAGGGTCCGATGTGTGGGGGATGGATCACTCTAGTTAAGAGAAACAGAAGGATGGAGACGGAGAACTTTCTCAGCAGCACTTTACTGTCACCCACATTGTTCTGCTACACAACAACAACCAACACTTCCTTGTTACTCATCATATGTCCCGTCGTTAGCCAATCAGAGGTTAGGATGATTAAACTCAAGGCAAACATTGTGACAAACACAGAAGTAGATTCAATAGAATTTGGTCACAGTTACTAGGTGCTACTGCAAACATAAAAACATATAAATATATCAATATTAACTTTGTGAACTCAAATATGTAAATAGTTCACTGTATAAATGTTAACTTATTTTTAACTGATGTGGTACAGTCGCAATACATCCGGGGTATTTCTATTTTGTGTCTGTATGTCAGTTTGAGAAGGTATGCCTAATACCACTTGGTCACTTAGATTGCTAAATGTAATAGAAAGGAGACATCACAAAATATAAAATGAAGAAATGCACATTCATTACAGCCTTGGTTTGGAGACACCACTTCAGCTTAAGAAACACATGTCACAAATCACCCATTCCTCCCATCTGTATGAGGTATGTGAGATGAACACTACAAACAAATATTTAAATCAAGAAACTTGCAAATCAAGTAAAAACCAGACTATCAGTCCAGAACATTTTTCAAACATGAAGAGATGATTGGTAATTTCCATTCAAAAATATTGACCATTGTTTTAACATTCTGAAAGCACTTGCTAATCCTCCATGCACACAGGTTGATCCATTTTTGTAAGTACCGTCATATTCTGCACGTCCTTCATGTTGTTAACTCAGCTCAGATGTGTTTTTTTGTAATTTTCTTGTGTTTTTTTCTTATGTACTCTCGTTGCCACGGTGATTTTGACAAGGATTTAAACTTCAGAATTATGAAGTTCATTGGACTTCATTCACACTTCTTTTACCTTCTTTTATAAAAACAATTCTTTTGCGGTTCTTAAGAAGCAGAAAATAATTTTTAGTGCGATGAGCAGGAACAGGACTCATGGGGTTAACTGTTTGTGTCTTCCTCACCTTGAATCCCCCCCCCCCCACAGGGCTGCTGGAGGACTACCCATCAGGCGTGGACCCTAATGCAGAGTGCTGTGACGTGCGGTGGGACTTGAAAGTGGACAACCGTTCCCGGGGGACCCTGAAAAGAACTCACCCGCCGTGCCAGCACCGTACCTCCCTCAGCTCGTCGGCAGCCTGCAGACTTTGTAACAGCCGGCTCAAACTCTGCCTGCTGGTCCTCGTCCTCCTACATACTGTCGCCAGCCTCACTGCATCCCACAATGCAACAGGACTGGGCCTCCCTGCCATCACGCCTCTGGAGGAGAGCCCTGCCAACGAGGAGTGATAGAGGCTGTCGGGAGGCGGAGAGGTTGCCGGGGTGGGGGGATTCCCTCACCATGGCAACCGGTGTGGAAAAATACAGCCACAGTGGTGTGAGCTGCAGGAGCTGTGTGCCTGTGGACGTTCTGCAACGCTCTCTGGCAAATGGAAAAAACACAGGACGCTTTGGGACGACGAGATACATAAATCAATCAAAACCAATAGACAAACATACAGACACACTAAGGGACTCGAGCAGTCCCTCAGATAGAAAAGGGGGACAATGCCACAGCCTTTGTTGAGTGGGAAGGTCGGCTTCCTCATGGCTGAGTTTGTCTCACTACGCTTTTTACACTGTGTTCAAATTATTGGTTTCTGTTGCACTGGCTGACTATGGAGTAACACAATCATATTCTCTTTCTAATGTTCATCCTCCATGTTTGTTTCTGGGTCTCTCGTACAGGAAGAAAAGCGCTCTCTCTAAAATACGACGGATAATGTGTTAAAAAATTAATAAGCTGCAAGTTTGTTTGTGTGTGAGGGTTTGTGTGTTGATTAACTGTGTGTGTATGAGCTTGTATGCGCGCGTGTGTGTGTGTGTGTGCTTGTATGCATGTCTCTACACGTGTGTGTATGACAGGATGAGTGTGTGATTAACAGGCAGGTACAGCAGTGATGTTTTAAGGAGCCACAGATGTCACTCAGTTCTGCCATGCTGGTTTTGTTGGCCACAATCTGACTGGAACTTAACCGGGTTTTCAACATCAATCAATCAATCAGTTTTTATTTGTATAGCGTCAACTCATAACAAGTGTTATCTCGAGACACTTTACAAAAAAAAACATGCCTCTGATGTCATAATAAGCTCTGTGTCTAACACAGGTTTATGGTTTTCCCCCAACTTTGTTTTGTGAGATAACTATGAGCCTATTAACACTCTATTAGAGAATCAAAACCATGTGTGTGATTAGCATCAGTAAAAAGATAACACCAGGCTAACCAGTGCTCAAAGTCCTCTGAATGTGTTGCCAGGTCACGGCAGTTACTTGTTGAGTAAACGTTCTTAGAACTGATGGCAAAAAAAAGCACAAAATGAACACTCAGATGTTCATTAATCTTCAAGCTAACATGAAAGAGGTCTAAGCCATGTGAACAAAAGTCGAGCGTTCTGATAAATGGCATAATAACGATTATTTTAACTGGATCCTCTGAAAGCTCTGCACATTAAGCGCTGACTGATCTTTGTTTCAAGATGCTAAACCAAAGCTAGAGATTAGCACTCACTAGTCATAGATGAACTAAAGACATGGCAGAAGTGCATGATAACATGCCAAAGAACGTGTTGGAACCTGTTAGTTACTGCACTGAAATGAGCTTAATTAGGTCCATGAATGATTGTTTAGTTCACTAAATTTAAATAAAGCGAGCTAATAAATGCAGCTGGAGAGCCGAGGCCAATCCTTTGGTGGACAATGAAGATTTATTCTATTCTGTTATGTTATATTCTATTCTATTCTATTCTATTCTATTCTATTCTAAAACAATGAACAGCAGGGTTACATTAATTAGTTCTTTAGTATGTCAAAAATTATTAGTTTATTATATGATTAATAAAAATAATCTTAATATATAATAAATATATTATTATAATATAAAAAGTAAGTATATCATTAGTAATAGTAATTTATCTCACAGCAAACAACAACAACATATTTCTGTGTTAAGCATGTCTTAACCAAAGATGAGGTATGCGCTGTCATATCAGTTTTATGTATTTATAACTGAACTGTTTTTATTCTCTTACCCTTTTTTATCTTTATCTCTGTTGTTTTCTAAAAGCCTCCCGTGGACAGGTGTTGCAAATTAACATTTTGCTATAAACACTAAGAGCAGTGCATCTGGAACTTGTGCATGATTAAATGTTACTGTATGTCCATATGCTAAATAAACAAATAAATGAATAAAAATAAATATCAGGCATTCTAACAGAGCCCAGTTCAGATCCAGAATGTGGCCACTCTTCATCATCATGGCTCAGCAGAGTTGACTGACATCAGGACGTAAGCACCAGGTCAATATATATTTGAATCAATGTTGCTCCTGACAAAAGGCTTTTTTAAATTTGTTTAGAGTTCATTGGAAATGTCCGTTCAAATGAATATCAGTGAGATAAGAAAACTCTGGTTACTGAAGGTTCCGCTGTCTTCCGTCTTCAGATCCTGGTTCATCTCTTTCATCCTGCTGATTGATAATCAGTAATACTTGAAAACAAAACTCAATTAATTGTTCGCCCTTGAATCAACACTGGCCAGAGACTGTATGAAAAGAAGTGGACGTAGCAACTGTGATGTCACTCATCAGTTTTTATGCTACTTCTTTGAAGATGGTATTTCAGCCATTGATATACTTTGACTATAATTTGTACCTGAGTGTGGATCCACCACCACTGTGTGATTCTACACTTTAGTTAGCGATGCCCAAAAGCTTAGCCTTCTTTATTGTCAATTGTTATACATGGGACAATAATGAACAAAATGATAAGGATGCTGGGTTGACTTGAAATTATACAGATGAAGTCCATAAACTACTTAGGAGAAGCTTGCTAAGGCAAGGCTTCCATGTTGTTGGACTTGGTTTCTCAAACTGAAGTAGCCCCTTACTGACCACTTAGATTTAGATTTAAGACACTTCCACATCGGATTCACATATTAGACTCAAAGGCTACATCCCCTTCTTTCATACAGTCGATGATACTGACGTCTAATTCAGTGGTGTCATTTTAACCTCATGCCTTTTAATTCACAGGAAACATGTCGACTGGGTGTTAACTTTAAGGAAATGCAATTCCACTGATTTTTTTATGAAATGAAGAAGAAAAAGTGTCAACATCAGTAATATATAGTCAAATCCTCTGACCACCTAAAGGGTGTATTACGCTGGCCAGTCAACCTATATATAGAATTACATTTTACATATCTCACAGAGACGAGACGGTCTGTGTGTTTCTGGTGAATTAAAATGTTTAATCTCCCCCTCATGAATCACATCTTGAGGCTTTCTGCAAGAATATGCAGCCTCTTTTGTTATTCGTTCCTCAGTCCCACTCTGCACCACCATCGGATTCCAATCAGCTCCTGTAGCATGCCCACTGTCTCGTTCTTTTCTCCTCAAAACATTAAGTAAAAGGGCTTATTAAGATACAGAGTACAAAACATCATCATCAACACAGTCAGTAACCTGAACCTGAACATACACCTTCAAATTGTTAGCAGACAAAAAAGGTCAAAACGTGGCTCATTGTTGGTGTTTCTTTCTGACGTCGTACACCGGCAGCACTGAGGGACTCCACCGTCTGTTACTGAAGAGCGGGGACGGAAACAAACCCAGAGAGACGAGCATGTCATTTTTTTGTTGTTGTGTGGAAGCACCTATTGGCTTAACCTGATAATCATCTTAAGTATAAGCTGACACCCTCTGTTTGATTCATAAGTATTGACCAGCATGTGAACAGAAAGAAAATGGTGTGACCTTAAGGGCTGACTTATCTTTAGTTTCTAACGTTTCTTTTGTTTTCTTCGATGAACACGGCTGTGAGATCAGGTATTTGAAGAAAAATCAGATGTTGCTGAATGCATTTTTAATCCACTGTCAAGTGTGTTACTTCAACGAGATGTCCAATCGGATATTTGATGTCAAGAATTTTATTATACAGCATATATGAGGATTTAAAATTCATTATTATTATTAATCATAACTTGTCTATATAATCAATATTTTTGGCCTATTTTTGACTTTAATGCTGTTTAGACCCTGCCCCCCACTCGAGACTTGACCCATTCCTGCTTTGCATGAAATACATAACTGCTCATTGTCATTCTGCACAGCCCGCCCCCATACTCATCTTGGATAAGTGAATCAGTGATAGAAAAATGCTGCTATTCTCTTTGCCACCAGCAGGGGGAGTTACTTGTATTATTTTACATTGCTACTGCTGCTGAGGACCTACCACACATAGAGTGTCATTTACACAAGAATCAGGAAGGCTGAGCTCTGGAAGAAAAGAATGATGGGAAAGTGTGCTGTTGTGTGTGTGTGTGTGTGTGTGTGTGTGTGTGTGTGTGTGTGTGTGTGTGTGTGTGTGTGTGTGTGTGTGTATGTATGTGTGTCATCTGCGTATGGGCATACGTGGAAGTGTGTTTCTGTCTCCTGATAATAGCTGTGTGTTCTCTGGGGAGCTCATTAGCTTTGCCACGACCTTGGGGCCTGCAGGACAGGTGTGGCAAACCACCGCTGCCTGTAGACCCACAGGGACCTGCTACATTAGCCGTCTCATTAATCACAGCGGCCCCTAAAGCTGCATGGACTGTAGTGTGAAAACCATCGTACCGTACAATGTGCAATAACGATTTCAATGCCCCCAAGACCCAGAACAAACCAGGGTAGGGGTTCCTTCTGCACCTGTCGGATAGAACGTTCCTCTATTCATTGTCTTAAATTAAATAGAAGATGTTTGAGGCAGTGCTCAGGAGGGGACAATGACCTGAAAATGGTGCCAAAGCTTGTATTGTGTCAAAAAATCATCAGTACACCCCCCCTCCTCCCCACTGCTATTCAAGATCAAACATTACAGGCAACAGGAGTGAAACAGGGTTCCTCAGTGTCTTAGAAATGTGCCATGTTAGCAATATATGGATTGCACCTCCTCATGAACCTCACAAAGCTCTCCCCCATATCACATGTAAGGGATCTCTTGACAGACGTACATGTGGTTTCATTCTGCCTATCATGTCCAACGGTCATGCTGTGATGTAACCAGCCATCACAGACAAACCGTTTGGACATGTGTTCATACAATGGTCCTGCATTCAGAGGTCATGCAGAGGCTTGTGTCTGCTTTATATGCAACTGTTGCATATGTGTTGTCCTTCATGCTCCTTCAGACATGTTATGCACCAAGGATGGACATTTTTTTTGTATGGAAAGTCGTCTCTCAAACACTAACATTATTAGGCATGCACACGACAGTTAATCTGCTGTTTATAACTTACTTTTTTGTGTGTTTTTTTTGGTGTGTCATTTTTTTTATTGCATTAAACTGCAAAGAAAGTGTGGAGGGTACAATAGATTCATCAGTCTTGATTCCGGACAAGTGGTCTGTAGCAGTCGTGGTCTGTCACATTCCATAAGATGCCAAACTCCAAAAACTGATCTTGTTTTTTTTAATCCTTGCACATATAGCCTATGTATGCCCCCTGCACCCCCCACCCCCCCCCCACCCCCACCCCCCTCCCAACCTAACTCTATGTACACAATTATCGCCCTCTTTCACTCGGCCTCTCTCTGTTTTTCACACTAGTTCTGTTCTCTATCCTGTGGATCTATGCAGAAGCCCATTCCTTTTTTTGGTTGTAAATATGTTCCCTAGTATGCTGAACAATGTATGTCTTTGCGTCCAGGTTTTTTTCCTTGTGTATTTTAAGTTGATGTCATGCTGTTACTTCCTTCTTCTTATTATTCTTCTCTTTTTATTTTTTTTATTTTTGTTTCGAGCGTCTGAAATCATTGATGTTAAAAGAGAATGTGTCGAGGTTTAACCAATAGACTCGTCCTCAGCTTCACAACCTTACTGGGAAAGGGTTGTGGCCCTGTGTGTGTGAACGCGAAAGATTTATGATTATAGAAATGAAAAAAAGGTTCAAAGTCATATAGAAGTAACATTGCGATTATGATTATTATGATTACTATTATACTACCAGTATATTGTAATATTATAGATGCTTTAGTTCAAGTAACTTCTTTAATTTTTTTACAAACAACTTTGATGAAATGATTTATAAAACAGTCTCACGAGTCATGATCTTTTCAAAAAGTATGAAAACTACTGCTACAATGATTAAAATTGTGTTCCGATGAAAAATAAATACAGACATATAATCTGTTATTCTCTTGTGTTTTTGAATGCTCTGCCATTTTAATTTTTTTTTCAGTTAAGAATACAAGAATATATTCAATATCTTCACTACTACAATAGTGATCCGTGGTGATGCCCTCTGCTGGTGGACAACAATGATGACACCTGCAGCAACGGTAATATCTTCTTCTGTAAGCTGCTGGAGCACAAAGTGGAAAGTACGTTTTTTTTTGCTTTATGTAACTTGAGAAGAAAACGTTAAAGTAGTTTCACATATGTACATCATTTATACTCAAGTTAATCTCGAATAAACCTCACTTTTTTACATCACTGTTTG